TATTCTTCAAATCAAAACACTTTTGCACATGGTCCTGACTCCATCAATGAGCTAATGTGACCCCAGCACTGATGGAGAGGGGCAAAAGAGGGTCAAACAAGGATGCTGTGCAGGTAACCAACCTTCTCATCAATGAATGATGTCATTGGTTGTCAGGAGACCAGTGGCTAGAAGGTCATAATGGCACACAATGAAAACTTGTGGTTTTGTGTAACTAAAAGGCAGGCTTCTTCCACCCGCTGGCTTGTGCAACTTTTAGACATTTTGCTAAGGCACCCCAGAAAAAACCTCAAGGCACCCCAGGGTGCCTTGACACCCTGGTTGAAAAAGGCTGGTATAGGGTTCTGTTGCTCCTGCATAAGATCTTCCCTGAGGCCCTGAAGGTTTGTTGTAAGGAGGAGGATGGCTCGCTCTTACATATTTGTAGGAAATTGACTGCCTTTTGGGCACAGGTGAGGGCTCTGATTCGGCATCTGACTGGGTTTGACCTGGGGGATGACCCTGATGGATATCTGTTGCTCCACTCTGATCTCTCTAGGAAACGTTTCAAGCACTCTTTGCTGGTGCACTTGCTCAATGCTGCTGTAATCCGGCTCTCTGGAAACAGGAGGCTCCCCCTTCTATTTCTCTGTGGTTATCCAGGGTAGAGGATATTCACTCAATGGAAAGTATCATGGCGGCGGTCTGGGGTCAGGAGGCCAGTTTCATCTGAAATGGATCAATTTGTCTCTCTTTACTTGCTCAAGTGATTATGCTGCCTAGCTGCAATCAGTGGCTTGAAGTCCCTTTGCTGTTCTCCTTTTACACCTCTCTTCTTCCTTCCCTTCAGCCCCCTTCCCCCCCCTTTTTTTTTTTTTCTTTCTCTCTCCCTACCTTTTTCCCTGTCTTGGATGCTACTGCTATTTGTTTATGTCAATAGACTGATCTGTTTGTACTACCTTTTGGACCAGTGTGCTCTACTTTGCTGTTTTTGAAACTGATAATTTGAATTTCTACATAATTGGACCGCACCTGGTTTGTTGTCTTATCTTCTGGCATCCACTAATGCGTCTTATTTTTGTATATGTTTGTACTCTAAAAAGCTGTTTAAATAAAGAATGTTCAAAAAAGAGTGACCGTCCTGGGAAACCTGAGACACTTATGAGCTATCCATCTATAAGGATCTACAGTCCATACACACCCAGCACAAGGCCGGGGTCACACTACCAGACGCTTCTCAAGGCTGCAGTTCCTCTGAGCTCCACAAGGTGGGGAACTCACTTCTACCCAGACAAGAAGTCTCTATCGAAAAAAGGAAGTGATGTCAGGTACAGACAGGAAGTGATGTCAGGTACAGGCAGAAGTTTCATGTGGTGCGAAGTACAACGGAGACGTTGGTGGAAGTAGCTTGCAGAGGAGGTAATAAGATGTTATTTCCTATTTACACCCAGTAACCCCCCGTCATGTCCATCCTCTTCCTCCATAGTCACGCCCGTCCTCTTCCTCCATAGTCACGTCCATCCTCTTCCTCCATAGTCATGTCCATCCTCTTCCTCCGTAGTCACTGTGACGTCTTTTATCTCCAGCAGATGATGATACACACATATATAGTGTGGGAACCCAGATTAACCCCTTCAGGGGCACAACATTCCCCGACTTTACGTCTTATTTTATAAGATTCAGATACAGTAGGAAGAAAGAGGTAAACATTTAATTTGTAGTACATGTCCTAAAAAACTAATTTTCCATAATGATCCCAGTCTCAGATATTCATTATTAATATTATACAGGATTCATATATTATTATAATACAGGATTTATATGGCGCCAACAGTTTGCTCAGCACTTTACAATATAACGGGAGACAATACAGCAACAATACAGATCAATACAAGAGGGTTAGGAGGGCCCTGATCCTTGGAGCTTACAATCTAAGAGGGAGGGGCTGGTGGTACAAAAGGTAATAACTGTGGGGGATGGACTGGCAGGAGGAATAGAAGATTCCATTATTAGTTGAGGGCAGGATAGGCTTCCCTGAAGAGAGAGGTTTTCAGAGATCGCCTAAAAGTGGGCAGAGTAGATGATAGTCTGATAGATTGGGGTAGAGAGTTCCAGAGGATGGGGGAGGCTCTGAAGAAGTCCTGGAGACAAGCATGGGAGGAGGAGACAAGGGAGATAGAGAGCAGGAGGTCATGGGAGGAGTGGAGAAGACGGTTTGGGTGATATTCAGAGACAAGATCGGTGATGTAATTTGGGGCAGAGTTATAAATGGCTTTATATGTTATTGTTAATGTTTTGAATTTTATTCATTGGGCAATGGGAAGCCAGTGGAGGGATTGGCAGAGAGGGGTGGAGGACACTGAAAGGAGGCCAGTGGAGGGATTGGCAGAGAGGGGTGGAGGCCAGTGGAGGGATTGGCAGAGAGGGGTGGAGGACAACAATGAATGGAGGCCAGTGGAGGGATTGGCAGAGAGGGGTGGAGGATACTGAATAGAGGCCAGTGGAGGGATTGGCAGAGAGGAGTGGAGGGATTGGAAGAGAGGGGTGGATGACACCGAGTGGAGGCCAGTGGAGGAATTGGCAGAGAGGGGAGGAGGACACAGAATGGAGGCCAGTGGAGGGATTGGCAGAGAGGGGTGGAGGACACTGAATAGAGGCCAGTGGAGGGATTGGAAGAGAGGGGTGGAGGACACTGAGTGGAGGCCAGTGGAGGAATTGGCAGAGAGGGGAGGAGGACACAGAATGGAGGCCAGTGGAGTGATTGGCAGAGAGGGGTGGAGGACACTGAGTGGATGCCAGTGGAGGGATTGGCAGAGAGGGGTGGCAGACATGGAACCGTTCGTAAGGTGGTAATTCTGGCAGCAGCATTCATGATAGACTGAAGAGGGGATAGCCTGCGATGAGGTCGGCCAATGAGGAGGGAGTTACAATAGTCAAGGTGAGCGATAACAAGGGAGGGAATAAGTTGCTTAGTGGTTTCCGAGGTTAGGAACGGTCGTATCTAGGAGATGTTGCGGAGGTGAAGTCTACAAGATTTGGACAGTGATTGGATTTGGGACTGAAAGGACAGATGGGAGTCTAGGATTACACCTATTACCCTGGCATGAGGGGAGGGACTGATGGGTGTATTATTGACCTAGATGGAGAAGTCAGGGGGGGGCATGGGCTGGAGGGAATACTAAGAGCTCAGTTTTGGAAATATTGAGTTTGAGGACATGGAGTGACATCCATGCCGATATGTCACTTAGTAGGAGACCGAAGGGGCGAGGTGAGGAGGAGACTGAAGGGGCGAGGTGAGGAGGAGACTGAAGGGGCGAGGTGAGGAGGAGACTGAAGGGGCGAGGTGAGGAGGAGACTGAAGGGGGGTGAGGTGAGGAGGAGACTGGAGGGGTGAGGTGAGGAGTAGAAAGATAGATTTGTGCGTCATCAGCATAGAGATGGTACTTAAAGCCATGGGAGTTTATCAAGTGACCAAGGGAGGAGGTGTAGATGGAGAAGAGAAGGGCTCCAAGGACAGAACCTTGAGGGACCCCTACAGAAAGAGGGAGTGAAGAGGAGGAGACCGAGTTATAGGTAACACTGAAGGAGCGCTGCGATAGGTAGGAGGAGAACCAGGAGAGGGCAGAGTCTCGGAGGCCAAGAGAGTGGATTTTTTTGAGGAGGAAGGGATGGTCAACTGTATCAAAAGTGACAGAGAGGTCAAGTAATAAGAGTATGGAGTAGTGGCCATTGGTTAGGATGAGTACGGAGTAGTGGCCATTGGTTTTAGCAGTTCGTAGATCATTAGTGAGTTTTAGTAGGACAATATTCATCCTGAAATGTGATCAGTAAAGTCTCCGGAGAACACGGAAATCACAGGAATATGATGTGTCCTGACAAAGCTCATCTTTCAGTTTAGGAGAGGTGGGACGCACCCGGGAGAAATGATTCTGTGTACAGAAACCTCACAGAGCGCCCCACACAGCTCCTTCTCCAATGTCCCTTCTACCAGAGTCAGAGAATCCTATGACATCACACTGACCTCACAGCTCCTCCTCCCAATGTCCCTCCAACTGGAGTCAGAATCCTTCAAAAAGACTGCATGTGACCACACTGCAAAATATATTCCCATGGCCAACAAGTATAAAAGGCTAAAAATCCAACCTATGTGGCTTACGGCCAAAGTTACAAAAGCGATAGATAATAAGAAAAGATCTTTTATTAAATATAAAAATGAAGGAACACGATCATCGTTTACACATTACAAAGAATAGAACAGAATATGCAAAAAGGAAATAAAGGCGCAAAAATTGAAAACGAACGACAGATTGCAAAAGATATCAGGAGCGACCCCAAAACATTCCTCCAATATATGAATAGTAGAAAGGTCCGGTCCCAGCATGTAGGCCCTTTACAGATCCATCTAGAGGGGGTGACTGGGGACAAAGAGAAGGACAATGTATGAAATCCCTTCTTCAGCTCTGTGTATACAAAGGTGCATGGGGGGCTCTTGTCCATAATGGGGGATGGTACTGACACCCCCCAGATGATCCACATTGGCTCACAATTAATATGATCCAGAAATATTTAGACAGAATAAAGGTGAATAAAGCCCCTGGACCGGATGGCATACACCCACGGGGCCTTAAAGAATTCAGCTCTGTCATCTCACAGCCATTGTTTCTCATTTTTAGGGACTCTTTAATGACTGGCATAGTACCTGGAATGGGGTAAGGCCAATGTGGGGGGCCAATATTTAAAAGGGGTCAAAATCTTTCCCAAGTAATTAGACCTGTTAGTGTAACTTCTATAGTTGGGAAGATACTGGAGAGATTAATAAAAGACCACATAGATGAGTTCTTGCTGGAAACAAATATTGTAAGCCACAGACAGCATGGATTCATGAAAGACAGAAGTCACACAAATCTGATTTCTTTTTATGAGGAGGTGAGCAAAACCTTGGACAGAGGGTGTGGCTGTGGACGTGGCATACTTGGACAGAGGGGTGTGGTGGTGGACGTGGTATACTTGGACAGAGGGGTGGCTGTGGATGTGGTATACTTGGACAGAGGGGGGTGGCGGTGGATGTGGTATACTTGGACAGAGGGGTGGTGGTGGACGTGGTATACTTGGACAGAGGGGGGTGGGATGGACGTATACTTGGACAGAGGGGTGGCTGTGGATGTGGTATACTTGGACAGAGAAGGGTGGCGATGGATGTGGTATACTTGGACAGAGGGGTGGCTGATGGGAGTGGTATACTTGGACAGAGGGGGGGCGATGGGAGTGGTATACTTGGACAGAGGGGTGGCGATGGGGGTATATACTTGGACAGAGCAGGTGGCGATGGGCGTGGTATACTTGGACACAGGTGGGGGTGGCTGTGGATGGGATATACTTGGACAGAGGGGTGGGTGGATGTGGTATACTTGGACAGCAGGGGTGGGGATACGTGGTATACTTGGATTTTGCATTGTATGCATTGACACCAGAAAACCTGTGAGAAGCTTTTAACCTATGGAATGTGGTGTGTGTAGGCAAATTATACCTCAGCTTGAAGTGGAGCCTTAACAAAATAAAGATCTTAATAGTGAGGTGAGGAGGATTCTGGGAGGTCACATGACATCACTCTCATATCTATTAATAAAACACAGATCTGACCGGAGACCTGACCGGAGGTCACATGACTCTTATCTCTATTAAATAAAACAGACCTGACTGGAGAGGTGAGGAGGATTCTGGGAGGTCACATGACATCACTCTTATCTCTATTAATAAACACAGACCTGACTGGAGAGGTGAGGAGGATTCTGGGAGGGTCACATGACATCACTCTTATCTCTATTAATAAAACACAGACCTGACGGAGAGGTGATGGAATTCTGGAGGTCACATGACATCACTCTTATCTCTATTAATAAAACACAGACCTGACCGGAATGGAGAGGTGAGGAGGATTCTGGGAATATCATTTGATTGACTATTTGTGTTCAGATGTAGAGTTTTCCTCCTGTGAAGTCTGGAGATCATATGACATCACATTGCCTCCACCTCCCTCCCTGATAGAAGAGAGAAAGAAGAAGAAGATTCTAGAAGTCACCAGAGAGATCACTGAGCTGCTGACAGGAGAGGTGAGCGGTGCCGGGAATTCTGGGACATTCTCCAGTAACAGACAAGGGATGTGTCTGGATGGTGACTGTATCATTGTGTGTGTCAGGTTCCTATAAGGTGTCAGGGTGTCACTGTCTATTTCTCCATGGAGGAGTGGGAGTATTTAGAAGGACACAAGGATCTCTACAAGGACGTCATGATGGACAATCAGCCGCCCCTCACATCACCGGGTAAGAGGAGACTTTATTGTAAAGGAGAGAGCAGTACGGAGGATCCACCTAGATCCCCCATCATCTGATAAACACATAGAAACAATGGATTCAGTCAGTGTGTGTTTCCTACAGATGGATCCAGTCATGGGAACCCACCAGAGAGATGTCCCCGTCCTCTGTATTCCCGGGATTCCACACAGGAAGGTCACACCATCCCTCACCATCATCAGGTAGATGGATCCAGTCATGGGAACCCACCAGAGATGTCCATGTCCCCGTCCTCTGTATTCCCGGGATTCCACACAGGAAGGTCACACCATCCCTCACCATCATCAGGTAGATGAGGAACAATCACTGATAGTATCATTAGGATCTGTACATTATCTGCATTGTTACCATTGATGTCATTTTTATTATATATTCAGAGTGGAAACCTGAGAGATCCTAAAATTGAGGTTAAAGAAGAGAAAAGAGAGGATGAAGATGGGTGATGGAGGAGTCAGAGTCATGGAAACAATACACAGATATCTGTACCACGGGGGACATCATGGTGGAGTCATCCTCCTACAGGAACCCACCAGAGAGATGTCCCCGTCCTCTGTATTCCCAGGATTCCACACAGGAAGATCGGGCACACCATCCCTCACTATCAGGTATATGAGTAACAATCACTAATAGTTGCGTATGATTTATTTCTAAGCAAGTTTCTTACAGTGAATTAATTTCTTTTCATTTTTAATTATGCGTTCAGAGTGGAATCCTCGAAGATAATAATATTGAAGTTAAAGAAAAGTACAAAGAGGAGGATGAGGAGTATGTGGTGTGATGAAGCAGCTTTTTGAAGAGCCCAGAGATCTCTATAAGGACTTCATGATGGAGCCATCAAGTAGCAGAAACCCACCGGAGAGATGTCCCCGTCCTCTGTATTCCCGGGATTCCACACAGGAAGGCTTCACACCATCCCTCACCATCATCTCCCAGAGTAGATGGAGGAACAATTATTTATAGCTGTCCATTTATACACTATTTTTTTTAATACAATGAATGTTTTATTATATCTTTCAGAGTGGAAACCTTCAGGATTATAATATTGTTGTCAAAGAAAGAGTATAAAGAGGAGGATGAGGAGTATGGAGTGATGGAGGAGTTTTCAGAAGGACACAAGGATATGATGGAGCCACCTAATACCAGGAACCCACCAGAGAGATGTCCCGATCGTCCTCTGTATTCCCGGGATTCCACACAGGAAGGTCACACCATCCCTCACCATTACAAGGTTATTTTATGTGATGTCACAAAATTAATGCTTATATTTTCCAAATTTATATTTTTCTCTCATTTTCTTGGTTTAGGGTGAAGATCTGATAGATATAAAAGTTGAGGTGAAAGCAGAAGAAGAGGGCTGTATGTGAGGGATGATCAGCAGTCTATGGAGGAGGATGGAATAACGGGGACATTTATAGAGGAGGACACTCCTACAGAGATCAGCACAGGTGGGTCATGAACACTAAATCCATTCCTCCACCCATACTGCTCACTGATTGGTCCAGAGTAGGGGCAGGCCTGGGTGATATCAGCCTGTAACCCCTGGTCACTTTCCTGAGCTGTGTTCCCCGTCCTGTATTCCTGTACTCCTGGATTTCTCTCGATAATCTTCCTTCTCTGTGCTGCAGACACAATTTATGTATCTAGACTGGATTTATGGAGGTTCTGGGGTTCAGATGGCAGCAAAAATGTTGATTTTATTTATAGTTGTTGTTCAACTCAGGAATCTGGGACATGTGCCTTGGACTTCTGCCCCATGTCCGGGTACATTACAGGATCTCTGACAGAACCATTCTCCCTGAGTTACTTGTTCTGATGTTTGCTGGCTGTGCTGGGTGGAGGGATATGTCTGTATAGTCTCAGAACCAAGTCACTGAGTGCAGTCACAGTTAAACATTTAACCTTCCACTGATTACTGAGTACAAATATCCTGAGTCCTGACCCCTATATACTCTGTTGTACATTACATACTCCTGACCCCTGCACTATATACTCTGTTGTACATTACATACTCCTGACCCCTGCATTATATACTCTGTTGTACATTACATACTACTGACCCCTGCACTATATACTCTCTGTTGTACATTACATACTCCTGAGCCCTGCACTATATACTCTATGTTGTATTACATACTCCTGACCCCTGCACACTATACTGACCCCTCTATGTATGTTGTACATTACATAGTCCTGACTTCTGCTCTCCCCCCCTCCCCCCACTGCTATATATACACATAATATGGATTCTCTTTTGTTACACCCATTTCCTCAGCTGGACATTTTATATCGGATGATGTGATTGGAGCACAGACTTTTACATGGTGATAATAATGTGATAACATCCTCCAACTTTGGACCCTTAAACAGAAAGTGATAATGAGGGAGGAGTCAATACCCCAATGATGGTGGTCTTCAGGATCAGTCCAGTCTTCATCTTGGTTGTTCTCCCCCCATCCTCACTCTCTGACCTCTGGTGGGGCTCAGCCCCGCTGTTCTTCATGACTAAATCATGGACTAAATAAGGAAGTGCAGTACTTCTTGTGTTGGGAAGATGGCGATGAGTGATAGAGGGGGTGGGGACCCTCGTCCTATAATCCCCTCATCACTGTCCCTCCTATAAAAGACAGTTCTGGTTGTTTCCTCACTCTCTGACTAAGGTCCATGAATAAAGAAATGACCTGGTAGGAGATCAGAGGAGCCATTTCCTAGTTCCCTTGAGGGTGGAATTGTAAGCTCCTCAGAGACCAAGCTGCCTGATGTGGGTGGAGTCCTGGTTTGGTTTGGGGGAACCAATCAGCTCCTGTCTAGTAATCCTCTTTGTCTTTGTATTTTAGTCCATGGCCGGGAGATGAGGAAAACCTCCGAGGATTGTCTCACTTTGTCTCCAGACTGGAAAGTAGAAGATGAGGACATCACACAGTATAGTCCAGGAGAAAACCCGGCTCCCTCCAATGTCCATCCGGCACCACCCAGTGTAGATGGACCATCGGATTCCTCGTATCCTGAGGAACCTCAGACTGTGCGGGACCGGGCCGGCCTTCCAACAGGGAAGAGCTTCTCCTGTACTGAGTGCGGGAAGGGTTTCTGTACTAAATCTGATCTTAATGTGCATAAAAGATCTCACACAGGGGAGAAGCCACATTTCTGCCCACAGTGTGGGAAATGTTTTTTTCAGAGAAATCCCATCTTTCCATACATCAGAAATCTCACACAGTAGAGAAGCTGCATTCCTGTCGTGAGTGCGGGAAATGTTTTGCAAAGAAATTTAATCTTTACACACACATCAGAGGTTGCACACAGGGGAAAAACCATATTCTTGTTCTGTGTGCGGGAAATGCTTTGTACTAAAATACAAACTTGCTGTACATCAAAGGTCCCACACAGGGGAGAAGCCATTTTCCTGTCCTGAGTGTGGGAAATGTTTTTCAAATAAATCCAATCTTTACAACCATCAGAGATTGCACACGGGTGACAAGCCGTATTCCTGTTCTGAGTGCGGGAAATGTTTTGTTCAAAAATCTCTGCTTGTTATACATCAGAGGTCTCACATGGGGGGAGAAACCGTATTCCTGCTCCGAGTGCACAAAAAGCTTTGCAAAAAAATCAGGACTTGTCTCTCATCAAAGGTCTCACACTGGGGAAAAACCATATTCCTGTTCTGAGTGCGGGAAATGTTTTGCACAAAAATCAGATCTTGTCAGACATCAAAGGTGTCACATGGGGCAAAGTATTTATTCCTGTCCTGAGTGCGGGAAATGTTTTTCAAAGAAGGAAGATCTTCATTCACATCAGACAGTGCACACGGAGGAAAAACCATATCCTTATTCCTGTCCTGAGTGCGAGAAATGTTTTTCACAGAAGTCTGATCTTTACCTTCATCAGAGATCTCACACGGGGGAAAAGCCGTGTTTCTGTCCTGAGTGCGGGAAATGTTTTCAACAGAAGTCCCATCTTTACAGACATCAGAGATTGCACATGAAAAAGAAGCCACTTTCCTGTCCTGAGTGAGGGAAATGTTCCTCACTGAAGACCTGTCTTCCTGTACATCAGGGGTCCCACACAACCCTGGAGGTGTATTAGTGGCTTGAGTGCGGGAAATGACTTCTATTATTATTATACAGGATTTATATTGCGCCAACAGTTTGCTCAGCGCTTTACAAGATGAATGTTGCTGGACATCCCAGCTCTCATGTGGGGAAGAAGCACACCCTGATATACACCTCAGATATACTCCATGGCTGATCTTCATCATGGAAGAGACAGTTCATAAGGAGATCAGAGGTCACCAAAGACATGGATGAAGTGTGGGACCGGGTTGGTCCTTTGATGGCAGGAGAAGAATAAAAATGGAGTCATCACCTTTCATTGGCTGAGTACATTTTGTGGTGGGAGATTTCACAAACACTTAGACATGTGTTTTTTAAAAAAACATTTGTTGGAACGATTACCATAGGCTTAGATGGGAGAATGCTTGTCACGTTAACCCCTCGCCCTCCTGAGGATTTCCCCCCCTTCCTGACCAGGACATTTTTTTGTGTTATTTTAACTGACAATTGCGCGGTCATGCAACGCTGCACCCAAATAAAATTTGTTTCCTTTTTTTCTCCACAAATTGAGCTTTCTTTCGGTGGTATTTGATCGTCTGTGAGCTTTTTATTCTTTGCGCTTTAAACAAAAAAATCCGACAATTTGAAAAAAAAAACGTATTTTTTACTTTTTTCTATTAAACATGTCCAGTAAAAAAATGTAAAAAATAAAATTTCTTCATAAATTTAGGCCAAAATGTATTCTGCGACATGTCTTTGCTAAAAAAATAATCCCAATAATTGTATATTAATTGGTTTACGTGAAAGTTCTAGCGTTTACAAATGGCGGTATAGATCAGGGGTGGACTGACAACTCATGGGGCCCCCGGGCAATAGGGGATCATGGGGCCCCTGTGTCCTTGCCCAAACTCAAAAAAGCCTATGAAAAAGGTACCAGGGGCATCTCATGGGGCCCCCTACTGACCCCAGGCCCTCGGGCAGTGCCCGAGTTTCCAAATGGTCAGTCCGCCCCTGGTATAGATACAGAATTTTTTTTTTAACTAGTAATGGCGGCAATCAGTGATTTATAGTGGGACTGCGGCGAGCATTCTGACACTGGGGGGGAACTGGCTAACTGCCACTGACATCCCCAGTGACACCAATACCCATAGTAAAAGTACTGCTACAGGGTGACACAGGTGTGCAAAATCACGTATATAGATCTCATTTGCATTTCTGGGCAAAAGGCATGTGTGCCGCCCTACCCACAGCGCTAAAAAGCACTGACACTGTACTTATGGCACTGGGCAGGAAGGGGTTAACAAGGGGCGATCAAAGGGTTAACTGTGTGCTGCTTTACTAGGGAGACATGCTGTGCAGAGAGATACAAATCAGCATGTCCTTGCTGACAGGAGAGAGACCTGTGTTGCTTACACTCAGATCTCTCCCCTGTCAGCTTTGCCGACGATCACTGAGTGCCGACTAGGAATCGCCGACTGGGACCCGGTGACTGACATCCCCAACTGCCAATAGCGCTGCGGGTAGGGCAGCACGCGGGTGCGCGCACCTTCTGCCGGGAAATGCAAATCACATGTATATACGTGATTTTGTGCAGCTGTGCCACCCTGTAGCAGTACTTTTGCTATAGGATGGATGGCAAGTGGTTTAAGGACATACAGTAAATAAACCAGCAATATTGAACCAACCGTATGGAGAGGCTGTTAGATATCGATAAGTATTATAGGAATTAGCTCCATCGAGTAGCTAATAGCCACATTTTTCATTTTTTTCAGAGGAAGTCGTTCAAACAGCAAAGCGCCTACTAACATTTGGTATTGTGCCCCCATTTACAGAGAAGGAATGTTTATGCACTTTCACTGGGCTGTTATTTTGTTTTTATGAAGAGACCGAAATGAAAATTCTGGTTCTGAAACTGAAAACAAAATGCGCAGTTTTCAAAAATGAATATATATTTTTTAGAAAAAAAATACACTTTGATTAAAAAAAAACAATATATACCCCAATTGTTTTGTAAAATATGAAAGAGGATGTTATGGCGAGTAAATAGATACCCAACATGTCACGCTTTACAATTGCGCACGCTCGTGGAATGGCGTGAAACTGCGGTACGTAAAAATCTCCATGGGTGATGCTTTAAAAATGTCTACAGGTT